ATAATGGCTGTGGTCCTAGGACATTCGGTAGGTCGTTTATGAACAAGATAAAAAGTCGAGAACCAAGAACAGGGCCCTGGGGGACTCCAGGAGAAACGGCGATAGGGGTGGATAGTGAATTGGAGACTCGAACCGACGTGGTTCGTTGTTGGAGAATCGCAGCAATCCAATCAAACTCGAGGTCTCTGATATCAAAATTGTACAGTTTACGGAGCAGTTCATGATTCACTCGATCGAACGCTTTGGAGAAGTCCAGGTTTATCACATCAACTGTATCGCCTTTTATACTGCCTTTGTCCATTCATCGTGGGCCAGGAGCAGATTGGTAGCACATGATCCCTTTTGACGGAATCCATGCTGAGCTGGAGAAAGAAGATCGTATTTCTCTAAGTGTTCCATCAAGAAATCTCCTACGATGGATTTCATGACGTTGGATATAATGGGTAGGAGTGTCACTGGGCAGTAGTTGGCGGGATCACTACGACAGCCACCTTTGTAAATCGGAGAAATTATGCCTTGTTTCCACGACTGGGGCAGTATGGTTACTTTAAACATCCCTTGGAAAAGAAAAGCTCTCAGATCAGATATGTGATCCGCCAAAGAAATAAGCGGTTCAGGATGTAGATTGTCTGCACCTGGAGCCGAATACTTACGTAGACCAAGAAGCTTTGATTTCAATTTGTCGGCATAAAGTGTGAAGGTAGTCAGTGGTGGATTTGGAATAAAGAGTATTTGACCAGGTAGCCGCAGTCTCGTGTTGTTGGGTGTGTTGAAGACTTGGGCATATTGGTTTTTCAGCACCTCAATTGCTATCTGGGCAACCTTCCCGAGGCAGCTGAGTGCGGGTATCCCATACTTTACTTCCCTCGACATATTGACATGTTTGTATAGTAGAGACGGGTTGGAAATAAACTTCCGTGAGAGCGTTTCCTGGTACTTCAGCTTATCCTCCCGCACCAACTGGATACAATGGTTTTGCAATTTTTGATATTTATTCCAGGATCTGTCAGTTGGAAATCGATTGTATTCTCGCCAAGATTGATTTTGCAGAGACATCCATTTATTTGTGCTGCTGCGAATCAGCGAGTTTTGTACCTATGATTTTCCGATAACCTTAGTAACTGAGGCGATCAGATTTATAAGTCTGTCCGTAAATGCTTGCCAGGTGACCAGTGGGTCACGTACGTCCCCACTGAATGCAGTGAGCCAAATTCTGCAATCTAGTATAGTCCGTGGCGAGACATGTATTGTTTTGCGGAGTTCTTTCCATCGAAGCGTAGCAGACATATGTGAACAGCAATGCTGCATGGTCACTGCATCCTAAGGGGTGGGGGGGGGAGACATCGATCGATTCGACCATATGCTCTTAGTTGGTTAATACCAGATCCAGCATTGACGACCTCTCCAAGTTCCCAAACCTCATGGGCTCCCTCACATGGTTGTAGAGCGGATGCGAGTTGATTAACTGTTTAAACTGACTTTGGAACGATGGGTGGGAGGTCATAGTGTGATTAAGATGCGGGCATTTGAAGTCACTCACTCTTAGAATATGATTAAATTCGGCAGATAGGACTTGTGACATAGCTCGCAAAAGTGTATCGTTTGCCGACTCCGTGGATGAGGGAGAACGATAGACCATTCCAATAAGAAAATCGTCACGCTTCGACAGTATACACCAAATTGTGTCAAGGGCTGAAACAGGAGGATTAACTACATCGCACTGGAGATCGCTTCGAGGGTACAGTAGAACACGACCCTCACCTGTTGGACGATCGAGTCTGATAAGAGACATGCCCGGTAGGCCCAACTCAGAGTCGAGAATGTCATCCGTCGACCAAGATTCTGTAACAGCAATGATATCCCACTGAATGAATTGGAAGCGCAACACCAGTTCGGAGAACTTACTGTGGAAACTTTGGGCATTAGTGTAGCAACAAGTCAAATGTGTTTGGTGTGGAAGTCCCTTTGGGTGAGAAGTAGATTCATTGCCGACCCTGTCACGGTCGATTAACATTGGTTTTTTGGGAGCAGGCAGCCCTGGTACTCTGATCCCCCAATTGTGGAGGGGAGCATGAGGCCTGAATCGATTATGCACTTGCGTCGTTATCACACAGTGGAAATTCCGGTAACACAGTCTCCATCA